TTCCTACGTGCCATCGCTTTGCCAGCTGACCTCCTGCTGTGCTCACGTGGCCTCTGGAGGTGGCATGGTTCCCGCTTTCAGAAAGAGACTGATTCGTGGTGGGATTCTGAGGCCCCCCTGGGGGGCTCCATGCCTGGCCGGGCTGCGGGCAGGGACCGGCCTGGATGCTTCTAGACCAGGGAGCCCTCGCCCTGTAGCAGTCCAGCATCTGGGGAAGAATTCTCGAATTCTGGCTTCTGAGTCTCTGGGTTCTCAGACTTTTGGGTTGTAGCGTGGACTCCGCTTGGCTGAGTCACTGCCCCCTGGTCCTAGGCACGAAGCAGGGAGTTGCGGGTCACAGCTGTCCTGCGTTAGATAATGTGCGGGCTGGGGAAATGGAGGCCAGCATGGGCTTCCTGGAGGCCACAGTGTGACGGTGGCCAGAATCACCCATCAGTCAGGGGTTCCCCAGGCTGCTTTGACGGTGCAGCCACGCGGGGAAGAAGTGGCCCGGGGTCCTGGCGTCTCATTGAGTCCCTGCCTGCCTGTCCGCCAGGTACGCGTTCACCGTGGTGGCCAACATCACCGTCTACGGCGCCGCCTGGCTCCTGCTGCACCTGCAGGGCTCGTCACGGGTGGAGCCCACCCAGGACATCGACATCGGCGACCAGCTGGGGGGCCAGGACGTGCCTATGTTCCGGGTGAGCTGGAGCCCGGGTGGGTCGCCTGAAGCCTTCAAGCCGGGGATAGGGGCTGGGCCAGCCGCCACTGACCGCTTCCGCCGGGTCCCCAGAACCTGTCCCTGCTGGTGGTGGGTGTCGGCGCCGTGTTCTCACTGCTGTTCCACCTGGGCACCCGGGAGAGGCGCCGGCCGCACGTGGAGGAGCCGGGCGAGCACACCCCCCTGTTGGCCCCCGCCGTTGCCCAGCCCCTGCTGCTCTGGAAGCACTGGCTCCGGGAGCCGGCTTTCTACCAGGTGCGTGCTGGGGGCGGCGGGGCTGGCGTGGACCTCCTCTCCCACCCACCGGGCCTTTGCTCTGTGAGGCAAGCTGCGTCCAGACACAGAGCACACGCGGCTGCTGGTGCAGCCCACACCCGGGGCAGACATCACTCATCAAGCGCCGCTCGCCTCTCCCCGGCCCACCCCACTGGGCAGTCACTACCAATGGATCAAATGCCAGCTGCAGGGCGCGCCCACCCCGGCCCCGGTGCCCCCTGCTGGTGGGAGTGGAGAAGGCCCTCCTGATCCCTGCCAGTCCCTTTGTCTGCCCACAGGTGGGCGTGCTGTACATGACCACCAGGCTCATCGTGAACCTGTCCCAGACCTACATGGCCATGTACCTCACCTACTCCCTCCACCTGCCCAAGGTGAGCGGGTTGGGGTGGGGATGCTGGGATGGGATGGCCCCAGCCTGGCGAGCCATGACTGACACGCCGTGCCTGGCTCTGCCCCCGCAGAAGTTCATCGCGACCATTCCCCTGGTGATGTACCTCAGCGGCTTCTTCTCCTCCTTCCTCATGAAGCCCATCAATAAGAGAATCGGGCGGAACGTGAGTGCACGGGGACCGGGGCAGCCGGGGCGGAGGATGGGGTGCCCTGCAGCCGAGATCCCACCCACTCCGGGTTCCAGCCTTGGATGCTTCCAGGCCTCCAAGTTCCCGCCTTGTAGAAGCCCTAGATCTAGGCCGGGCATGGTGGCTCACGCCTGTCTGTGATCCCAGCACTTTGGGAGGCCAAGGCGGGCGGATCACGAGGTCAGGAGATCCTGGCCAACACGGTGAAACTCCGTCTCTACCAAAAATACAAAAACAAAATTAGCTGGGCGTGGTGGTGGGCACTTGTAGTCCCAGCTACTCGGGAGGCTGAGGCAGGAGAATGGCGTGAACCCGGGAGGCGGAGCTTGCAGTGAGCCGAGATTGCGCCATTGCACTCCAGCATGGGCGACAGAGCAAGACTCCATCTCAAAAAAAAAAAAGGCAGCCGGGCGCGGTGGCTCACGCCTGTAATCCCAGCACTTTGGGAGGCCAAGTTGGGTGGATCACGAGGTCAGGAGATCCTGGCCAACACGGTGAAACTCCGTCTCTACCAAAAATACAAAAACAAAATTAGCTGGGCGTGGTGGTGGGCACTTGTAGTCCCAGCTACTCGGGAGGCTGAGGCAGGAGAATGGCGTGAACCCGGGAGGCGGAGCTTGCAGTGAGCCGAGATTGCGCCATTGCACTCCAGCATGGGCGACAGAGCAAGACTCTGTCTCAAAAAAAAAAAAAAAAAAGCCCCGGATCTGGGAACGAGGAATTCTGGGACCCTGGCTTCTGCGTGTCTCAAGTTCATACTCTTGCGGCTGCAGAGCTCTGGTGCTTTCTGTCCACCCTGTGCAGCTATGGAAGGCGTGAAATGTGGCCGCGGGGACTGAGCCAAGTCCGTCATTTGCTTTCGTTGTAACTGACCTGCCTTTAGGCAGAGTAGCCACGTGTCTGCAGCCGCTGCGGCGTGGACAGAAAGCACAGCTCCGGCATGGAGGGTCTGCTGAGCCTCGGACTTGTCCAGGGCCAGAGCCCGGGCTCCTGGGGGACCATCCAGCTCGTGCCCCTTGTTTGCTGGGGTGGAGGTAGGGGCGGCAGGTTGAAGACCAGAGAGGGCCAGCACCAGGCTTGGGGGCACCCAGTGGTATGGGCCTGACCCCGGGGCTGTCCCTACAGATGACCTACTTCTCGGGCCTCCTGGTGATCCTGGCCTTTGCTGCCTGGGTGGCGCTGGCGGAGGGGCTGGGCGTGGCCGTATACGCAGCGGCTGTGCTGCTGGGTGCTGGCTGTGCCACCATCCTCGTCACCTCGCTGGCCATGACAGCTGACCTCATCGGTCCCCACACGGTAGGGCTGGTAGCCGGGCTGGGGCTGGGGCTGGGGAGGCCGGGGCCTAGATCTCAGGATGCACGCTGACCACCTTGCCTGTGTCTCCACAGAACAGCGGAGCGTTCGTGTACGGCTCCATGAGCTTCTCGGATAAGGTGGCCAACGGGCTGGCAGTCATGGCCATCCAGAGCCTGCACCCTTGCCCGTGAGTGCCGCTGTTCATTCATTCATCCTTCCTTCCTTCCTTCATCCATTCTTTTGTTCAATAAGAGGGTATTGAGCGCCTGCTGTGTGCCCAGCAGTGTTCTGGGTCTGGGCATCCAGCTGTGGACCAAAGACACCTGCCCCAGTGAGAGTCATAGACCGGGGCGACCTCTCGTTTCTTCCACTGAGCACTTCATTTATTCATTCAACAAACGCTGGGTCTGTGTGTGCAGTGCTGACAACACTGTACAGAAATCTATCGGGGGTGGACCCAGCTGGAAGGGAGCCCCGAGTTTGTGTAAACCAGACCCATAGAACTCAGGGTTCAGACACGGATGGTTCTAGACCACGGCATCACAGCATTCATGCCTGTAGAGGCTCAGGGCCTGGAAACCAAAGCTGGTCTGGGCCTGGGGCAGAGCCAGCCCTGTGAATAGTCACAGAGGTGAACGTGTGGTCGGGACTGGCGTGGGTGGTGTGTAAAGGTGAACGCTCAGAGAAGCCTGGCCAGCCAGGGCAGGAAGCCAGGGAGGGCTTCTTGGGGGAGGTGACATGGACCTGACACCTGCAGGATGTCAGAGCGTTCCAGGTCAAAGCCCTGGGCAGGACCACAGCTGGTGTGTTGGAGGAACAGGGAGGAGGCCCATGTGGCTGGAGCAGAGGGAGGAGGGGACGGGGCAGGTCGTGCAGGGCCTGGTGGGCCATGGGGAGGACTTGGGCTTTGACCCCAAGGACAGTGGGAGCCATGGAGATCTGTGGGCAGAGGAGGGACAGGCCCTGACCCAGGCGCTCAAAGACGCCCTCTGGTGGCCGCTGGTGGGGGAACAGGGTGGAGCCTGGGACCAGGGCGGGTGCAGGTGGGCCATGCTGGAGCTGGACGTGGGGAGACAGGGATGGGGAGACGTGGTGGATTCGGGATGGACGCTGGAGGCAGGGCCGACAGGACTGGCTGAACTGTTGGGTGTGGGACAGGAGGGAGTTGCGGGGACCCCAGCTCCTGGCTTGGACAGGACGGAGCCGCCCTCGGGTGGGAGGGGAGGAACAGGTTCAGCTGGGGTGGGGGGTCCCCGCGGTGCCTACTCAGCCCCCGCCTCCTCCCACAGCTCGGAGCTCTGCTGCAGGGCCTGCGTGAGCTTCTACCACTGGGCGATGGTGGCCGTGACGGGCGGCGTGGGCGTGGCCGCTGCCCTGTGTCTCTGCAGCCTCCTGCTGTGGCCCATCCGCCTGCGATGCTGTGAGTCCCGGCGCACCCCTCCCTCCCCAGAGACTGACCACACCGGGGTGGGGGTGGGCGTGGGCCGCACCCCACCCTCCCTAATGCCATTTCCACCCCTCCCTTGCAGGGCACCCTGACGCCCGGCCCTGATTCCTGATGGTCTCCTGCACCTGTGCAAGGGAACCGCGAGGATGTCCCCCGGGGCCTCGAGGAGAAGCCCCCACTGCCCCTCGCTCTCCTCTGGACCCCCACCCTCCATCCTCGCCCCACTCCCGGGGATGGGGTCGGGTGAGGGCAGCAGGGAGGCCCACCAGGGCCTTGTGAATGCAGGGACCCCTGGGCTTTGAGGGTGCCCCATTCTCAACTCCAGCCCAGCCCTCTGGAGGATTTGGGGTGCCCCTCTCGGCAGGAAGTAGGAATCCCAGAAGGATCTGGGGGAACCCTCATCCTGAGTTCAGTCCAGTTCACCCCTCACCTCTGGCCTGGGGGTCTCCAGATGCTGCCAGGGCCCCCTCAGGATGGCTGGGACCTAGAGGAGACCCCGTCACGGGGTGGTGGGCTGGGCCTGGACCCCGCCGTGGTGGGCAGCAGGACTGCCCAGTAGGCTTGGTGGACTCTGCTGGCAGCGAATAAAGAGATGACGGCGGCCTGGCTCCTGTCTGCCTGGGGGTCCCTGGGCATCGCAGCCCTGCCCTAGTTGTGGGCAGCCGGCGAGCCCAGCATCTGCCTCTGCCCCAAGCCTCTGGTCCCCGGGACAAGGTTAGTGCCCCCTCATCTGGGTGCAGAAAGACAGTGGGTGCGTCGTGGCATGCGTTTATCGGGGCATGGGCGTGGAGGAAGGCAGGGGCCGCTGGCAGGTGGAGGGGCAGTACGGCTCCAGACCCCACTCCTGGTAGCTCTGGGTGGTGCCAGGCGGGCGCTGGGGCGCCGACAGGGAGGGCACGTAGTCTGATGCCCTCCACAGCGGCTCCACCCCGTACCGGTTCCTGTTGATCACTGTAGATGGGACCCGGGTCACTCTGTGCTCCCACCTCCTCGCCATTGGCCAGCAAGGGGCCCCCAGACCTCCCTGGTGGTTTCACCCTGGCCTAGGTGGCCTCGTCCCCCAGGCTTCCCGGGGACCCGCCCCGCACTTGGCCTCACCATATTCCTTGCCCCGGATTGGCCTGTCTTTCCACAGCGTGCTCCCCCACCGGGTGCTGGGGACCTGGTACTGGGCAGGGATGATGGGGTCGTGCCAGGTGGTCTCCCGAAGGTGCTGGGTGTAGGCTGCGGTGGGGTGGGGGCTGGCGGTCATTCCTGTCCCCCTCCAGCAGGCCCGGTGCCCAGGGCGGGGAGGGCAGGCACTCACCCGATGGCATGCTGTGCTCACGGTGTTGGTAGCAGCTGTGCCAGCGGTTGTAGGCCTCGCGGAAGGGGTTGGCCGGGTCCAACGGCAGGTTGTACCAGGCCTCCCGGGTGTCCGAGTTGGTCAGGCCTGTGTACCACAGCTGGCCAGCTGCGTCGCGTCCCATGGGTGTGTGCTTCCAGCGTGTGGCCTGCCTGATGGCCAGTGGCCAGCGGGGACCCTCCAGGGACAGGTAGTCATCACTGAGAGTGGGCAGGGGGCAGAGACTGAGCTCGTCTCTACAGCGAGTGCTCTGACCCCTCTGCGATGTCTGCCAGGGTGGATGATGTAGAGGCCTGGCCCACGGCGTGGGGCCTTCCTCCCTCGCCACTTGGTGTCTATCCTTCAGCCCTGGATCCCCCACCCCAGAGTGGATGGCAGAGGAGAGAGGCTGACTCCCCTCTCCCCACACGTCCCACCCCAAGCACCCAAGTCAGCACTAAACCTTTCTGTTCTGAGCTTTTCTTGCCTGGAGAAGAGGGAGGGGAAGAGGAAGAGGGAGGGGAAGAGGAAGAGGGAGGGGAAGAGGAAGAGGGAGGGGAAGAGGAAGAGGGAGGGGAAGAGGACGAGGGCCCTGGCTACTCCTGGGTTCCTATAGTCCTTGTCGAGCCTGCAAGACCTACAAGTCCCTTCCTTTGGGAAGCCCCCCCGGCCCAGAGGTGCACCAGGAAGAAGTGGTCTGGGGCTGGCACTGAGCCATGGCCCAGGGAGGACTGGGGGACGCACTAGGCCAGGTGTGTGGCTCACACCTGTAAACCCAGCACTTTGGGAGGCTGAGGCAGGTGGATCACTTGAGGTCAAGAGTTCAAGACCAGCCTGGCCAGCATGGCGAAACCCCATCTCCACTAAAAATACGAAAATTAGCCAGGCGTGGTTGGGGGTGCTTGTAATCCCAGCTACTCGGGAGGCTGAGGCAGGAGAATCACTTGAATCTCGGAAGTGGAGGTTGCAGTGAGCCGAGATCGTGTCACTGCACTCCAGCCTGGCGACAGAGTGAGACTGTCTCAAAAACAAAAAGAGAAAAGACTCAAAGATGTTTTATGCTTTGGCCTTGCTCTTGGGAATATGTCCCAAGAAACCCCAGAGAACAAGGTTGTTGGCCCCCAAGATAGCCTGGCAGGGCTCAAAACAATCTCACCTGTGCCCTGCACGGAAAGCCTGGTTCCAGGTCTCATGGCAGGAACTCGGCTTAAATCCTGACTAGACTCCCAGGTGCCCACAGAACATGGGAGTAGCCTGGCCAGTTACGGAGCCTGTTTGAAGGACACCACGTAGACTCGGCTTTTCCACTAGAAAGGCAATTTCAAGATCTGGGGAACCTCGCCCTTTTGAAATGAATTGCAAAACACGTGTAGCTTTTAAAACGCAATTAAAACAGCACAAAATTGGCCGGGCGCAGTGGCTCACGCCTGTAATCCCAGCACTTTGGGAGGCTGAAGCGGGTGGATCACATGAGCCCAGGAGTTCGAGACCAGCCTGGCCAACATGGTGAAACCCCGTCTCTACTAAAAATACAAAAATTAGCCGGGCGTGGTGATGGACACCTGTGGTCCCAGCTACTCGGGAAGCTGAGGCAGGAGAATCTCTTGAACCTGGGAGGCGGAGGTTGCAGTGAGCCAAGATTGTGCCATTGCACTCCAGCCTGGGTAAGAGAGAGAGAGACTCCATCTCAAAACAGACAAAAAGTAATTAAAACAGCACAGAATAACATTTGATGAGAAATGGGCCCCCTCACCACTGCTGTCGGCCCCGTACCCACCTGCCACTCACTACTTTCTGGTGTTTCCTTCCAGGACCAGGTGGTACGTACACCCACCATTTTTTTTTTTTTTTTTTGTTTTTGAGACGGGGAAGTCTGCGCTGCTGGCCGCCCGAGGCTGGAGTGCAGTGGCCGGATCTCAGCTCACTGCAAGCTCCGCCTCCCGTTCACGCCATTCTCCTGCCTCAGCCCTCCGAGTAGCTGGACTACAAGCGCCGCCACCGCGCGGCCGCGCTAGGTTTTGCATTTTTTTAGTAGAGACGGGGGTTTCACCGTGTTAGCCAGGATGAGTCTCATGTCTCCTGGACCGTGCTGTTCCGCCCCGATCTTCGCCTCCCCAAAGTGCTGGATTACCAGGCTTGAGCCATGGCGCCCGGCCACACCCACCATTATTACCACTTCCGGAGCCCTGTCCCACCGCATCTCCATTTTTGTTTTTTTTTTTTAATTAAAATAGAAATAGTCTCGCAGCCCGATGCGGTGGCTCCCGCGCTGTAAGTGCCCCAGCACTGTGGGAGCCGGAGGAGGGGATCACGGAGGTCGAGGAGTTTGAGACCAGCCTGGCCACTCCGGTGAAACCCCTGTCTCTACTAAAAATACAAAAATACCGGGGTGGTGGCTCATGCCCTGTAATCCCAGCTACTTGGAAGCTGGAGGCGGAGAATCGCGGGTCTGAACCCAGAGCTAGAGTTGCAGTGAGCCGAGATCCGCCGACTGACTGCACCTCCAGCCTGTGCACCGAGTGAGACTTTTTTTTTTTTTTGAGACAGAGTGCTTGCTTCTGTGCGCCTAGGCTGGGAGCTGCAGTGGCACGATTCGGCTCACTGCAGCCTTGACCTCCTGGGCACAACGATCCTCCCACGCTCGAGCCTCCCCAAGTAGCTAGCAGTTACAGGCATGGTTGCCACCATGCTTGGTGATTTTTTTTTTTTCCAGACGGAATCTTTCCCTGTCCACCCAGCGCTGGAGTGCAGTTGGTGCGATCTTGGCTCACCACAACTCCGCCTCCTGGTGTTCGAGCGATTCTTCTGCCTCAGCCTCCTGAGTAGCTGGATTTGCAGGCACCTGCCACCACACCCCAGACTTTGGTATTTTTAGTAGAGACGGGGTTTCCCCATCTTGGCCAGGCTTGATCTTAAACTCCTGACGTCGTGATCCACCAACCTCAGCCTCCCAAAGTGCAAGGATTACAGCCGTGAGCCAGTGCATCCAAGCCTTTTTTTTTTTTTTTTTCTGGAGTCAGAGTTTCGCTCGTTGTCGTAGGCTGTGAGTGCAATGGCCCATCTCGGCTCACTGCAACCTCTGCCACCCCAGGTTCATGCGATTCTCCTGCCTCAGCCTCTGAGTAGCTGGATTACTGGCATGAGCCACCATGCCGGCGGTAATTTTGTATTTTTAGTAGAGATGAGGTTCACCATGTTGGTCAGGCTGGTCTTGAACTCCTGACCTCAGGTGATCCGCCTGCCTCGGCCTCCGAAAGTACTGGAATTACAGGCGTGAGTCACTGCACCCAGCAGCCTGGCTGATCTTTTAATTTTTTTATAGAGATGGGGTCTCACAGCTGGGTGCAGTGACTCACGCCTGTAATCCCAGCACTTTGGGAGGCCGAGGTGAGCAGATCATGAGGTCAGAAGATCGAGACCATCCTGGCCAACATGGTGAAACCCCGTCTTTACTAAAAATACAAAAATTCGCTAGGCATGGTGGCACATGCCTATAATCCCAGCTACTTGGGAGGCTGAGGCAGGAGAAAGGCTTGAAGCAGGGAGTCAGAGGCTGCAGTGAGCCAAGAGTGCACCACTGGACTCCAGCCTGGCAACAAGAACGAGAGTCTGTACAAAAAAAAAAAAATTTTTTTTTTTTTTTTTTTTTTTTTTGAGAGGAGGTCTCACGCTGTGTCACCTCAGGCTGGAGTGCAGTGGCGCGATCTCGGCTCACGCAACCTCCGACTCCCAGGTCACGCCATTCTCCTCGCCTCAGCCTCCGAGTCCAGCTGGGACTCAGCGCCCACCACGCCCGCTAGTTTTTGTATTTTTACGTAAGAGACGGGGTTTCACCATCGTTAGAGGATGTGTCTCATCTCCTGACCTGTCAGTGATCCACGCCCACCTCGGGCATCAAAGTCATGGATACAGGGGCCTGAGCCAACCGCAACCCCGGCCAAGGAAAAGAAATGAAACCCAAAGAGGTAGGTCTGGGCATGGCTGCCAACTGTAAATCCCAACCACTTTGGGAAGGCGCTGAGCAGGAGGATCACTTAGCCCCAAGGAGTTCAAGGACCTAGCCTGCGGCAACCATAGTGACGAAAAACGCCCCAAGTTTTTTGGGTTGGTTGTGGTTTTCTTTTTTTTTTTTTTTTGAGACGGAGTCTCGCTCCCCCCTGTCGCCACAGGCTGGAGTGCAGTGGCCGGGATCTCCCAGCTCACTGCAAGCTCCGCCTCCCGGGTTTCACGCCCAATTTCTCCTGCCCTCCAGCCTCCCCGAGTAAGGCTGGGACTTCGACCCGCGCGGCCCGTACAAACTCCAACGCCGGTCTAGTTTTTCTGTATTTTTTAGTAACGACGGGGTTCACCCCGTGTTAGCCAGGAATTGGCTCCGATCCTCCCCTGACCGACCTTCACGTGATCCCGCGCGTCTCCGGCCTCCCAAAGGCTGGGATTACAGGTTGAGGGGCCACCGGCCGCCGTTTTGTTTGTTTTTCTGAGACAGAGTCTCACTCCGTGTTGACTCCAGGCCTAAGGTGAAGTGGACACAAGCTTGCCAAACGCATACCTCCGTCTCCGAAAGTCTCAAGGATTTCTCCTGTCTCAAGCCTCCTGAAGTAGCTGGACACAGGTGGCTGGCCACCATGCCCAAGCTCAGATTTTGTGGTTTTTTTTTTGTATGCAGATCCCCGTTCCTTGTTGCGTCCCCAGGTCTGAGTCCAGTGGTCACTCTGGCTCTACTGCAAGGACCCTGAATCCCTCTTCACAGACTTTCTCTCTGGCCTCCAGCCCTCCCCAAAAAAGTAAGCTGGGAGCATTCAATAAGCATGGCCCACCCATGCCAAGACGAATTTTTGTATTTTTAAAGTAAAGACTCGGGCGTTTGCACCATGTTGGCCCGCATAGGGGTCATCTTGATCTCTGACCCTCCAATGATCTGCTCACCCCGGCTCCCCAAGAAAGTGCTTGGGATTAAGCAGGCGTGAGTCACCTGCACCCAGCTGTGAGACGCTACGCATCTCCTATAAAACAAAATTAAAAAGATCAAGCCCAGACGCTGAGGCTGGCTGCAGTGACTCAACGCCTTGTAAGTTCCAAGTACTTCGAGGGCGCGAGGCCAGGGCGATACACCCTGAAGTCACGGAAAGTCTCAAATGACCAGCCTGACGG